AAGGCGGGACCATCGGACATTCCAGCCACCCCCACCCGGTGAGTCACAGGTCTCCCTGGAGTCTGGCCTCCTGGTGTCTAGACAAGCCCCAGGCATCTTCTGGGGAGACCAGGGCACCTGTGGCCTCTTGGCGGCTGCCTGGGAGGGACCCGTCCCTAGGAGGCCCTCAGCTTCTGGGGCCCTGGGTGGGCCGCTGCGGAATGGGCCACTGCCCCTGAGGGGGCTGGGGAGGAAGCGGGGGCCGCCCAGGCCCAAGGGGGACCTGCCTCCAGCTCCACACAGGAGGGAGACCAGGCGAATTTCCCAGGGACCTGCCACGGAAGCCCGCGGTGCCCTGGGCCCGCGCTCGCTCACGCCCACCGTGTGTGCCGCCCTGTCTGGACCGGCGACTCCACACGTATGTGTCCAGGCAGCTCTCACTCCTGTCTGGAATTTTTAGAGAAGGGGGAAATGTCTCTGAAAGCAGGCCTTCCATCTCGCCCGTTCTCAGCCCCCACTAGTGACAGGCTGACGTGGGGGACTCGGGGCAAGTTTCCTCCCGGTGGCTGCCGTTTCAATCCGCAAAGGTCGCAGTGTCCATCCGGCTCCGCCCCGCCGGAGTCACTGCCTGGGGAGGGCGTGGGGTCCGCACCACCCCGGCTCTCGGGCCCTGCCCTGGGGAAGGCCTGGGCACCCCACGTCTGCAGCTGAACACTGCACCCCCTTTCCCCACCACCCGTCAGGACCCGGGCGAGGGCTCCAGACTCTGAGGCCAGGGAAAGGGGAGGCCCCAGGTGGGAGCCAGCTGCCGCCCCTCCCAGAAGTCTACCGGGGGTCGGCCCGTGAGGCCCCCAAAGCCGCACACCCAGGCCCGCCCCGGGATGGGATCTGGAGTGGTTCAGACACTGCACATGTCATGTCCTCTTTTCCCGTAAAGTGATCCCAAGGGGCCGGGACTCAATGGACTCAATGCGCCATCCTCAATCAGAGCAGGGGCAGGTGCAAGAGGCCCCAGGGAGTGCAGGAGGCTTTGGAATCACAATAACCTGTGAGCCTCGTCTGGCCTCGGGCCCGCACCTAGGAGTCATGTGGCCTTGAGCACATTGCTTCACCTCTCTGAGCCTCAGTTTCCCCATCTGTACAGTGGAGAGAGTAACAGGTGGGGGTTGCCATTGGCTGGCTGTACCAGGAACCTGACACGGCAGTGGCTCACACAGCAGGGGTGGTGGGCAGTGCCCCCCTGCTCCTTTGGGAAAGCCCCCCCCACCTTCGGTCTGGAGGTCTCCCTGCCCTGTGCCTCCCAGCTCCTCGGAGACCCCAAGAGCCACCAACAAGCAGCATCGTGTCCCCGGGCTGCTGCAGTGAAGGACCCAGCGTGGCTGGGTCACAACCGATGCAAGTCTGTCCTCTCACAGTGCAAGAGGCCGGGACTCCAAAATGCAGGTGCCGGCAGCCCGTACTCCCCAGACGCTCGGGAGGAGGCCTCCCTGCCCGGCCGCTCCTGGCGCTCCTGGCTTGTGGTTTGCATCTTGCCGATCTCCGCCTCCCTCTTCTCTTGGCTTGTCTGTATGTGTCCGTTCTCTTGTGTTTCTGACCAGGACCTTGTTCTTGGCTTTTGGGCACCTGGATAACCCAGGGTGTTCTGTCTCCAGATCCTCACTTTTAACCCTGTTCACAGAGACCCTTATTCCCAATAAGGCCCATTCCAAGGGTCTGGGTGGACACATAGTGTTGTCCACCATGGGGGCCACCATTTCAACGCAGTACACAGAGGAACTTCCCAAACCTGCCCCCCCCATGTCCCTTCGCAGCACTCAGACCCTGACAATTTTGGTTTTGCTCATTTTTTCTCCCCGCTGCCCTAGGATAGGAGCTCCAGGAGAAGGCCTGTCTTTGCTCACTGGCCCTGAGTTCCCAAGGACACCCGAGGCCAGGCAGTTTGCCCAGCCTCCCCGTCCCTGGGACTCACACCCTCCTTGGGTGCCCAGCTTCCGTCCTGGCTGGTTGTGGGCACGGCCAGAGGAGCAGGGCCTGAGCTGCAGGACGGGGCCAAGGGGTGCCGGGGCCTCCAGGCAGGGTTGGGGGCAGCCTGGCCTGGAGGAGCCCGAGGGAGGTGGGAGAGCATCGGTTCGGGGGTCACAGGGGCAGAAGGGAGGAGAAGGCCACAGTGAGTCCTGGGGACTCTGCAGGCAGCTGGAGGTGTCCGCGTGAGCACACGTGTGTCAGTGCGTGCAGCTAGACACGGGAAGAAACCTGGAGTGTGTAGTACGTGCACACACACTACATACACCCTCGCTCACCACACACTCCAAACGCACACCATGCACACACAGACACCCTCCATACACACACACACACCTGCTAGGACTCAGTGAAACAAAGGCAACCCTCTTTGATGAGGACACGCAACACGAACCTTGTCATGAGGGTGGTTGGCAGAATCATGGCCCTTAAAAGCACACACCCCTCAGTCCCTGGAACTTGTGACCTTACGTAGCAAAAGGGACTTTGCAGATACGATTAAGGCTACAAACCTTGAGATGGGAGATTACCCGGGATTATCCAGGGGGCCCAATCTAATCCATGAGTTTGTAAAACCGGAAAGCTTCTCCCAGCCGGGTCAAGGATATGACACGAGAGGGACTCGGGCGTCTCCAGCGTGGCTGGCTCTGAAGGTGCAGGCAGGGAGGAGGTGGCCTTTGGGAGCTGGACGCACCCTCAGTTCACAGACCTGGGGGCTGCAACCCTGAGGAACTGAATTCTGCTGACAATCAAAGGAACAGGAAACAGATTCCACCTGAAGTCTCCCGCCACCACCTTGACTTTAGTCAAGTGAGATGCACAGGGACTTCCCACCTCCGGACAGAGGGATGGTAAGTTTGTGTTGTTTAAGCTGCGTGGTTTGCAGTGATCTGTCACAGCAGCAATGGAAAGTACCGCAATGAGGAGACACCAGACAGACCCAACCTGAAGGACACAGAGCTAGTTATGAAGCACATAGAATGCCTCGAAATTCATGAGAACAGCTGAACTTAAAAATGCGCAAAAATGAACAAAGCATTTCACATAAGAAATATGAACAGGCAATAAAATATGAAGAATTAACCTCATTTGTAATTAGGGAGAACAAATTAAAGCCACAATGAGATTCCATTTTATTCACCAGATTGGCCAAATGTTGGGAACAACTAGAGCAGAGGTGAAAGCCACAGCCCTGAGGCCAAATTGGGCCAGCTGCTGCTTTTGTAAATAAAGTTTTATTGGAACACAGACACACACATTAGTTCATGTATTGTGTATGGCTGCTTCCCATCTGTGATGGCAAAATTGAATAGTGTGACAGAGATGTGTGGCCTGCAAAGCAGAAGCTATTTACTTTTTATTTATTTAGTTTACCATTTTATTTTTTTAGAGACAGGGTCTTGCTCTGTTGCCCAGGCCAGAGTGCAGTGGCCCAATCATACCTCACTGCATCCTCCAACTCCTGGCCTTAAGTGATCCTCCTGCCTCAGCCTACCAAAGTGCTGTGATTACAGGTGTGAGCCACTGCACCTGGCCTTCAGAAAATATTTACTGACTCTCTGCAAAAAACATTTGCCAACCTCTGATGCAAACCGGGAAGAATGCTTATGGCTACTTTGAAGAGCAATTTGGCAACATCTAGTAAAGTAATAGGTATGCTTACACTTGAATCTGTAATTCCACTTCTAGGTATTTACTCTAGAGAAACCCTAACAAATATACCTTGAGGAGACAAGAAACCCTAACAAATATACCATAAGGAGACATGCTCACTGCACCACTATTTATGTGGCAAATGATTGGAGACAATTCCGGTGCCCTCAGTGGGAGAAGGGATGTATATTCTGGGCTATTTACACACTAGAACTCCACACAGCCTTGAGAGTGAACGGCTGAGAGCACACGCAATGTCATGGTGAATCTTGTAAGGGGATATCTGAGTTTGAAGGGAGTTCTAAGTTTCTGCTAATATTTTGCTCTTAAAGCTGAATATCGGGTTCATGGGCATTTGTTATTTGTTAAAACATACATTTAAGTTTCACATTCTCTCTTGCATGCGTAATATTTCATAAAAATTAAGTAATCGACAAAAAGCAGGTTATAGAATGTATGTATGGTTTTATTTATGTACAACTCACGAGCGCAGGCATTTATTATTTTGGCTCTGCATTTAATTACCCTTTTCCCTGGCACTCCCTCCTGTTCTTCTCCTGTCTGAGGGTGGGACGGCACCGCTGGTGAGCATTTGCCAGGTGCCAGGAATTCACGGATGAACCAGGGCCCCTCTTCTGTTCCCTCCCAACCTCCATTTATACCTGAAGGATTCTCACTTGTCCTTCAAGCCCGGGCCTAGATGCCTCCTCCTCCTCCTTGAAGCCCTCCCAGATTTCTCTGCCCCCAGCGCTCTCCGCCTGTCCTGTCCCCTGGCAGCATTGCCTTTGCCCCACTGCGCCCGCCCCTGGGAAGCACATCCCGGCGCCCGCTCCCCGTTGCGACCTTAGCTGAGGGGCCGAACTCTCGAGCCAGCGTTTCATCCGCGCAGCGGGCTAACGGCCTCCCCGGCCGCGGTTAACTCCCCAGCCCGGCAAGGCCCGCCTCTCGCGCAGGCCCCGCGCGGCCGCGGGGAAAATGCTGAGAAGGAACCCGCGAGCCCCCGCCCGCTCTGCAAGGCGCAGCGCCCGTCGCTCCCCAGCTCTCGCCGCGGGCTGAGGCCCTCGCCGCCCTCCAGCCGCAGCCAAAGCCCGCGAAGGAGCCGGCCCGGCGGGCGGCCCCGCGCTGCGCTCCGGCAGGTGCACCGCGGCCCCGCCCCCGCGCGGCCCGAGCCCCGCCCCCGCGCGGCCCTTGCCTCCAGACCCCGCCTCTCATTGGTTCCCGTCTCGCTGAGCCCCGCCCCGCCCCTGGCAGGCTCCGCCCGGCCCTGCCAGGCCTTCCGGGTCTGGCTCCAATTGGCGGTCGTCACGCCGAGCCCCGCCCCTGTAGTCGTCACTTCCGGCAGAAGAGCCCGCGGAAGGCGGAAGTGTGTGCGCGGGGAGGCAGCTGGGAGCCGCTGAGGTGTCCCTATCCCTCACTTCGCGGCTCTTCCGGGTCTGTGCTGCGAGCCTCGGAGGCTGCCCGCGACTCCGAACGAGGGCGAGGGACGCGTGGCCATGCGGCGGCCGCGGGGCCTGGCGCGGTCTGGAGGTTGACATCGCCCCGCCGCCCGCTTTCGAGGTCGCCTCCTCCACGCAGCCTCCCGGCCCTGTCCCCGCCCGCCGGGTCCCGCATCCCTGACCCCGTGACCCCCGAGGCATCCCGCCCCGGGCCTTCAGCCCCGTCACCATGACGGCGGCCGCCGCCTCCAACTGGGGGCTGATCACGAACATCGTGAACAGCATAGTGGGGGTCAGCGTGCTCACCATGCCCTTCTGCTTCAAGCAGGTGAGTCCGGGGCCTCGACTGGGCCCCGCCGGTTCCGAGTTCTGTGCCCAGCGGGCAGGCGTCGCTAGGGCCGGGCGGGGGCCGCCGCCACTGCGGAGCAGTCCCGGAGGAATGCCTCCGGGAAACACAGAGTGGGCGCCCGTCAGCCACGGCTAGAGACTCCTCACCGGAGGGCCAGGTGTGACAGAGCAAAGTCATCCTCCAAAATTGGGCCGTAACTCGAGGGTCCAGTATCGTTTTGTTTCATCCTATTATTTTTTAAAACTCCGACCCGGCTGCACTCAGTCTTCAGAAGCACACAAGTCGTTGGTTACAAGGTTACAAGGTGATCAGAACATTCGCCGGCTCCTACGCCTAAGGTCTGCGTCTCACAAAACTGTGCAGATTTGATCGAATCTGTGCAAATTTTACCTCAGTTGGGAAAATCTGATACACAGAAAAGTTTGGTGTTATTCCAACATTGAGTACCACAGGAAAGAGACTTCTTTCGGGAGACTCTGTCTTAAGAAATGGACATGCCCACCCCAGCTGTCATGTGTGCTGTCCCCCCCGGCCCCCGTATGGGTGTGGGAGCTGCCCAGCGGCAGGACCTCCCAGAGGGCAGGGGGTGGGGACGGCAGAGCCAGAAGGCGCTTTGCGGCCACCAGTCCTGTCTGAGGAAACCACATAGGTAGAAAAATGGAAACAGGATGGATGTTTCAAAACTGCAAATGGGTACCATGGGTTTAATTTCAGATTAAGACACCTTGTTTTCCATATTTAGCATCTTCAGGATAAAAGTATCAAAGACAACTTTTCTAATCTGGGAATTTTCGATCCCCCTGTGGAGCCTTTTGGCCTGCCCTGGGTGGGAGTGCTTTCTTAGGGTTCCCGCGTGAGTTGCGGTTGGTGAGTGTGTAGGTGGAAAGACAGGGCTGACATCTCCAGAGCCCCTGCGGCAACATCTGGTCTGGACATGGAGAACCCTAGCTTTGTGCCAGCCCCTTCTGGGCGTTTCTGGAACAAGTCCAGGGAGCAGAACGCATCCTGGGTGTGGAGTGTGTTGGCTGGGCCGGCGTCTGGTCAAACGCTGTTCTCCTTGACACCTGCTGTGAAGTGCCACCGTGGATGGGGCTCTGGTTTAGACACCGGTGAAAACATGTCTTAGGGCCCAGGCAATTCAGCTGTCTCCAGACCTGGACCACCTGCTGTGCGGTGCCGGGGTGTGTGTGTGTGTGTGTGTGTGTGTGTGTGTGTGTGTGGCTGCCAGAGCCCGTAAGGATGACCCAGGCATCTTTTCGCACTTGCCGGAGAAGAGCTTGAAGCCCAGTGGGTGAGGCTGGGGTGCAAGCAGAAGACAAGTGGGTGAGGCTGGGGCAAGCAGAAGACAAGAAACAGTAGCACAGAACCCAGAGGGCCTGCCAGGAGTCGGCTGCTCTCGTCTGGACTCAGCCTCTCCTCCATGGGAAGCTCCTTGGACCAGGGCACAGCGTGAGGCCAAGGGGCAATTTGGGGATGTGTGTGTGTGTGTGTTTAGTGTTTGGGGCCACGTCATTGTAAAGAACTTTGGTTGAGCGGATTTTGTTGCTTTTAGTAGTTTTGGTGGTTTTAAAAATATATAGGCCTAGGCCGGGCGCACTGGCTCACGCCTGTAATCCTAGCACCCTGGGGGGCTGAGGCAGAGAATTGCTTGAGCCCAGGACTTTGAGGTTGCTGTGAGCTACATTGATGCCATGGCACTCTAGCCAGGGGAACAAAGTAAGACTATGTATCAAAAAAATATATATATACATGTGTATATATATGTATATAGTTAGATATATATGTAAGCATTTCATTGAATTTTAACATGCAGAAGCATGTATACACTCTTGGTGAATTTTCACAAAGTGAACAAACCTGTGGAAATAGCTCCCAAATTAAGGAACCCTCATGGTGGCCCCTGCCAGTCACTCTCCCTGCCCAGGGCCCCACTGCAGACCTCCAGTGCCTGGTGGTGCTGCCTGGTTTAACTTGCTGCAGATGGAGCCCTATTGTGTGTACATTTCAGTGTCTAGCTGGTGTTTCATTGTGTGACATCCCACATTTTATTTCTCTCACCTCTGCAAGACATTATGGTGTCACAAACACAGTTAGTTGCACAGCACGGGCTTTGGCAGATGTCCGGCTGTCTCCGCTGCACGTCCCTCTGAGTGGAGTGGCTGCGTCCCAGGCGTGTGTGTTCCCCGCTGGTGGGTGCCGCTGAGTGTTTTCGAGTGGCTGCGCCAGGGCGTGCTCGAGTCTACACGAAGCCTCACGCGCAGCCGCAGCAGCATTCGATGTTTGTGTCTTTTCCATGTGGGCCATTCCGGACAGTGCTGATAGCTCATTGTGGGGGATTTTTTTAGTTGATAGACTTTATTGTTTTTAGCGGTTTTAGGTTTTACAGAGCCATAGAGCAGCGAGTGCAGAGTCCCAAACATGCCCCTCCCTCCCGGGGCTGGTCCCGGTCCTGACGTAGTGCTAGCGTGGTGGCATCTGTGTTGTAAACGTCAGCTTTGTTGAGCTACAGTTCACATGCAGTGACACCCATTTTAGGGTGTGGTTGTGGTGGGTTTTGATGTATGAGTGCAGTCGTGTGACCCCCACAGTCCAGACACAGAACATTCCAGCACCCAGAAAGTCCCCGTGTGCCCCGTGTCATCGGCCAGTCTCCCCACACCCGGCCCCGGCAACACTGACCTGTCCTCTGCCCCCACGGTTTGGCTTCTCCAAATGTCCTGTGCATGGAATCACACAGTTTGCGGCTGTCCGAGTCCAGCTGCTCTCACTCCGCACAGCACATTTGAGACGCGCCCATGTCGCTGCAGGAGTCAGTCGTCGGGCCCTTCTTACTGCTGAATGATGTTCCGTCGTGTGGGTGGACCGCAGCGTGTCATCCGCCCACCTGTTGAAGGACCTTTGTTTGGGCTTTTAGTTTTTGCATTATGGCCATACCTGATGTAAACATTGGCATGCGGGTTTTTGCATGAACACGTGTTTTCATTTCTCTTGAGTAAATACTGGGAGTGCAGTGGCTGGGTCACATGGTAAGTGTCAGTTTGACTTGTAAGAACAGCGTGAATGTCACTTTTAATCTCTTCCTTCCGGAGAGTGTTCAGCCCTCGTAGCTGCTGATCCACGTGGCTGAAAGGTGGGGCCTGCAGGGGGGACACGGAACTGGGGACTGGCTGGGGACTTGGCAGCACCCAGCCCATCAGGACCCGAGCGGGGCAGGAAGGAGGCAGAGCCCCCGGTGCTCTCCCAGCGTCACATGCGGGTTTTGTGTCACCGGGCAAAGCGTGTACCACCTCACCAGGGAGACAGGCCTTTCTGGTGCTGGAAGGTGTTGCCCTAGGTAGGAGGCCGGGCCAGAGCTGGGCCTGGCGTTCACACGGGCGCAGGAAGCGGAAGCCAGGCACATGCTCTGTTGCGCGAGGTGGACCTGCAAGTGTCTGTCTCTCTCCCCCTCCCTCCAGTGTGGCATCGTCCTGGGGGCCCTGCTGCTGGCGTTCTGCTCTTGGATGACGCACCAGTCCTGCATGTTCCTGGTGAAGTCCGCCAGCCTGACCAAGCGGAGGACCTACGCCGGCCTGGGTGAGACTCGGCTCTCGGGGCCCGCGCCTCCCCGGCGCCGTCTGGACACGTGTGGCACTTGGGACCTGGGAGGGCTGACTCCTTTTATCCTTTATTTTTCTTCTACTTTATTCTTAAAGAGTTTCTTGGACAGCAAGTTTTTTTTCTTATTTAAAAATGTTAATGCAAGTTTTTAAAGAGTTAACGTAATCACGGGCTTCAGAGTTGAAGTGACACAGAAGGGCGTGAGGGGCCAAGTCCACTTGCCCCCCAGTGGAGCCCCCTCCCACTCCAGGTGCAGACAGCCGTGCTCACGGGCCCCTTCCCGTGCCCCTCTCCTCAGTACCCAGGCACCTCCCTCTGGTGGTCTCGCTGGGCTTTTCCCCCTTGGAATTCCATGGAGGAAGCTGCCACTGGGTCCCGGCTGTGGCTGGGACTGAGTCACAGTCTCCCCAAGGCCTTTTATCCTTTTCCCGCCACTGTTGGTTGCAGTTGTGGTTCCTGTAGTTCTTTCTTCCTTTAATACGATTCCAGCTGGGAGAGGGGCAGCACTTTATTCTTCAGTTCAGAGTATTTTCTAGACTGTGTGGCTCGAGGGCACGGTCCCCCACTTTCTTGTGACTTCTCCCTCTGTCTCATCCCAGGCTCTGCGACTCTCAGCGCTGCGTCCCGTGCCGGGGTGTTCGGTGTTCTTGGGAGTTGGCCCTGTGGGTTCTGGTGCAAAGTCCTGGCCTTGTGATGGAAGCTTCTGTCCCCAGCCGGCGTGTGGCTGGGACACCGGGTCCTCCCGATGAGGGCCGGACTGGCCCTCCGCTCACACAGAGCGAGGAGCCCGGGGTGGGGGTGGGGGTGCAGAGTTCCGGGGGCCGGCCACAGCAGCCACACCTGCGGGACCGCCTGGGTCCGGCAGAGGGGTCCCCCATCCCCACCGTCCACTCTGCGCTGCCACCGAGAGCCCAGCGTCTGTTTCTGCCTCGTCACCAAAGGGCTTCCCGCCCTGTCCTTTCCTGGTGAGGACAGGGCTGTCAGAGTCTTCTGTCGTTGGCAGCTGGGGAGCGAAGTTTGCTGGTTAAGCCGATGCGTGGCGTGGTGGCCTAATTCAGCTTGGCATGAAATGTGTGCATCGGAAACCCAGAGGCAGGTGCCTGGGCGGCCCCTTCCTGGGTCTGCGGAGCTGTGGCCTGCAGGACGACCTTTTACCCCCACTGAGGTCTCTGTTCCGGGTGCCTGTGGCAGAGACCCCGACCCGCGCGCTCGTCTGTGTCCGAAGCATAGTGTCCGAGGCTGGGGCGGCCGCGGTTTCCCACAGCCAGCTGTCTGGTGGTTCATCAGAAGGCCCCGAGAAGTCAGGCCGGTTGGTTTGTGAAAGATGGAAAGGAAATTGCCAGATGGACACTTCCTACCCTGCCTGTGGTTCTAAACTCTAACCGCATGGGGTGATTGTGCCCAAGTCTGCCTTCTAGAAACAAGATTCACACGCACCAGTGGTCTCAGGGTGTGTGTCTGTTACCACGTGAGGTGCATGCCCAGGCGGAGTCTCCTGGGCCGGGCCGCCCAGCGCCAGCTCCCTCCGTCCTGGCCATCCCAGAACGCGTGGTCGGCCCCTGCCTGACCAGGAGGGCCTTTCTCTCCGTCCCCCGTCACCTTCCTGCCTGCGCGATGCCCCCAGGAGCTTGCGTGGGGGTCCGACGGGGGGGCCTGATGAGAGCCCCTCACTGCAGCCCTGTGCAGCACGGCCCGCTGGCAGACGTGTGAGGGCATCTTGTCTGCTGGGTCTGTGGGCACTGGGCGGCTGTCGGGCAAGGAGGTGGGCAGGTGGCCGTCGTGCACACCCGGAGACCGCACAACTGTTGCGGGGAGATTCCCAGGGTGGCAGACGTGTCTCCAGCAGGCAACCTGGTCCCACAGAACGGCTGGGTGGTCTTCTCCTAACGACGTCTGCTACCGCCAGACGCACGCTTGCTTTTGTGACGGCTTCTCTGGTGGCTTGCGGAGGCGGTCGCTTGCGCTTCACCCTGCCCTCGCTCCCCCAGTGCTGGCAGAGTCAGCCTTGCCAGTTGGAGAATGACAGTACTAGAGGGTTTCCGCTGTCCTTGGTGAGTTTGTTGTGTTTGCTTTTGCTCCTTGAAGGGTTTTCGCAGTTTTATGAACTTCTCACCTGCTGCTCCCTGCCCTGCTACTCCAACTCCTGTGTGCAGAAGGTACACAGACGGGTCCCGGCTGACGCCCTGGCCCCGCTCGAAACTGCTCTGAGCCTGACCCCGCCCTGCCGAGTGCCGTGTCCCAAACCCCAGGCTCGTGGTCTGGAAGCATCAGCCCCTTCCCCTCTCCCCAGGGGCAGGCAGGACCTGAGGGTGCTGGTGTGGGGCTGGCCGGGCGGAGAGGATGGGGCCTGGGCAGCCGTCCTGGGAACCAGAAGAAAGTGCTGGTTTCCCACTCGGTCCCTCGCCTTCCTAGGCAGCCTCCAACTTCTGTGTCCAGGATGCAGGCATGTTCTGGAACCTTCTTGGTGGGGCGTGTGGGTGTTTGTAATGTGCTATAGACTCTGGCTTCCTTTTGGAGAGCAAAAAGGAACAGTTATGGTCAGGAGCATTTCACATTTGGGGCATGAGGTTTTGTGTTGCATGTTGGGGTGCAATCGCTGGGAAGTGGGTGCTCTGTGGCCCCCAGGCTGTAGCTGCAGCTGCAGCAGCAGCTACCAATGGCGCTCCGGGGTTCCCAGTTCTGAAGTTTGCAGCGTAGTCCTTGGCCAGGATTCCGGGATGCGGCTTTGTTAGATGAACTTGAGGGGTGCCAGGCTCCCTGAATGAGGTGGTGGAGTCCAAGGAAGGCCAGAGTGCTGCCCCCGGGCCCAGCCCAGGCAGACATGGGTCTCTGGCTTTTGCCAACCCTGTGCCTCTTCCTAAAGAATTTATTTTATTTATTTATTTTTTTGAGACAGAGTCTCACTTTTGTTGCTCGGGCTAGAGTGCCATGGCATCAGCTTAGCTCACAGTAGCCTCAAACTTCTGGGCTCAAGTGATCCTCCTGCCTCAGCCTCCCAAGTAGCTGGGACTACAGGCATGCACCACCATGCCTGGCTAATTTATATATATATATATATATATGTTGGCCAATTAATTTCTTTTTTTTTTTTTTGAGACAGGGTCTCACTTTGTTGCCCAGGCTAGAGTGAATGCCATGGTGTCAGCCTAGCTCACAGCAACCTCAAACTCCTGGGCTCCAGTGATCCTCCTGCCTCGGCCTCTCGAGTAGCTGGGACGACAGGCATGTGCCACCATGGCCGGCTCTTTTTTTCTATATATATTAGTTGGCCAATTAATTTCTTTCTATTTATAGTAGAGACGGGGTCTCGCTCTTGCTCAGGCTGGTTTTGAACTCGTGACCTGGAGCAATCTGCCCGCCTTGGCCTCCCATAATTTCTTTCTATTTATAGTAGAGACGGGGTCTCGCTCTTGCTCAGGCTGGTTTTGAACTCATGACCTTGAGAAATCCACCCGCCTCAGCCTCCCAGAGTGCTGGGATTACAGGCGTGAGCCACCGCGCCCGGCCTTCCTAAGGAATTTAAAAGTAACAGGGAGTGGGGTTTTGGACTGACTCGTTTCCCACTGGCCTGTGTGTTTCCTGCTTTCCAAACCTCATGGAAGACCCCTGTGTCAGCGAGGAAGTGGGGCAGGAAGCGGGGGCTGCTGGCAGCTGGAGCCTCCTGCACACATTACCCTCCCTCCCCCGGAGATGGGATGTTCCTATGCCCCAGGCCACGGGGACAGCTGGGGTTACCCGACCACCGAAGGTCGTGGGAGGGACCTTGCTGAGTCAGCGTTTACGTTCTCGTCTGTAGAATTATTAATAGTTCTGCTGTCGGGAGAAGGACCACCAGCTCCTCCCAGGGCAGGAAACACCGTGTCGCTGGACGGCTGCCGGGTTCCCCAACCATCCCCTGTGGGCTCCAGCAAGCTGGGAGCTCTCGTCCCCTCCCTTCCCAAAGTGCCACACTCGAAAGGATTCTCTAATTTTTCTCCCATAAGTCACAACGAAAGGGTGAGCGCGAAAGCCCTCCCACAGTGTCCGTTTGGTCCCGGCTGCAGAGATTGGGATTCTGGGGCCAGGACTGAGCCCTCCAGGCACCTGAGAGCTCTGGCGGCACCACAGGGCTCAGCCGGGTGTGGGCGGCTTCTGCTCTGTGGGGACGAGTCTCGACCTCTGTTTTTAAAAGAACTTTAAGTGAAAGAACAACCTACCTGTGTCTCTCCCTTGTCTTGAGCCTGTTTTATGTGCTAGATCCCAAAAAAGCATGGGGACCAGAATTTAAAAGCGCCCTCACGCCCGTGAGATTCCAGCCTTTCTTGGCTCGGTAGCTCAGGTGCTTCCCACAGCTCCGCATTGACTGTCCCTCTCTTCTCTGCCCTAGCGTTCCACGCCTACGGGAAGGCGGGCAAGATGCTGGTGGAGACCAGGTAGGTGCCGCTGTGCGCCCCATGCTACTCAACCGGACCTGGAGGGCTGTCCCAGGGCGGACGGCCGAATGTGGGGTTGCCTCACAACCTGTGACATGCTTCTGAAGAATCACGCACCCAACAGCCGAAAGTCCAAATTATTTTTCCCATTAAAGTGATTAGTAGCAAGGTTGAAGTCTTGCCGTGGAAAGTTGAAAATAGCTCCCTCAGTTGCAGTTAATCTCAGTCCTGTTGCTCAGACTGTGCACCCACCCCTCCCCAAATACTGCTGCATAAAGGTGGCACGAAATTGAACATGTCACCTTTTTCTTCCTTTGGAGTAAAATTTTATGACATGAAAAAATTGCCAGGAAATTGCACTTTTAGGCTTCTAAATTAGGGAATTGTAAACTGAAAAGAACAATGGTTTTTGAAAGCAGTTGATTGTTCTTTTAACTTGTCCAACATCACAGTGTGTTTTCGTAGCACCTGAAAGAACTTTTAGAACCTCCTGTGGAGAGAAAATACAATACCACATAAAGAAAAGTTCAATGTTGTTCAATATTCATTTCAAGTAAAACGGTGAACTCCGCAAAACCTGCCCACGCCCTGTAAACTGTTGAGCTTTTGAAACACAACTGTTGGCGTGGCCCAGCCCGGGGCGGTCACGTGCCGGCAGCGGCCTGCGGGTGTGGGGCGGTGGACTCCCTGGACACACCGTCTCACACGTGTGACTTGCCGCTTTGTAGCATGATCGGGCTGATGCTGGGAACCTGCATCGCCTTCTACGTCGTGATTGGTGACTTGGGATCCAACTTCTTTGCTCGGCTGTTTGGGTTTCAGGTAAGAACGTTCTCAGGTGTTGTGATTCATTCAGATGCTCGTGGTCGCTTCTGTGGCAGCTCAGTGTGACACCCCCGTGAGCCGGCCGAGACCAGCACGGTGAGGTCAGCAGACACGTCTGTCGTGCCTGGCCGTCAGCTCGGGTCCTGCGGGCCGGGGTGCGGGGTCTGCTGGGCAAGCGCCTGTGAAAGGTGCTGGGAGAGGAAGTGGGAGCAGGTGGAGGCTCCAGGCCTCGGGGAACCAGCCCCAGATGGTGGGGGGCCAGCAGCGTCTCGGCCAGCCGGGGCTGCCTGTCAGGGGGCAGGAGTGGCCAAGCCCTCGTGCGTCCACCACACTCAGTTACCCGGCTAGAGCTGCCCAGGGAGCTCGGCCTTCGCCCTGCTGGGGGTCTGCAGGCCCTGCCCTGGGCAGCCGGACGCAGTGCTCCTCACAGCCCGCAGGGGGTGTGTGCTCATTCTCAGGGGGCCGACCTGTGACCTGGGCCTGGCACCCGATTCCTCCCCTGCCAGGAGCAGAGTGCCGTGCTGAGTGGGGCGGGAAGGGAGGGCTGAGGGGTGCACACCACGGCTCCGGGGTACTCTGTGGAGGGGTCTCCCAGTATTTGGATACTAACCATGTAGAAAGGCTTTCGATTGTAAAAGTCTAGCTGAGGAGGAGCAGGGGTGGTCCTGTTCGTGAGTAGAATGTGCTGGATTTGTGGGCTGTCGGAGTGTCCTGTCAGTGTGGCCCTGGTCTGTGTTCTGTGGTGTCTTCCCATTTCACTGCGTTATCCCATGTGTCACTGTGAACATTCTAGGGCTTTGGGCCTGTCCTGCCTGTGGGACATGCCTTTCCTGCACCCACTGGCCTGTACCCCTGTCTAGATATCTCCGCTTTGGGTTTGGAGGGGACTGGGGCAGAGGTAGTGCTGGCGGCCACTGCCCCATGCAGGTTCCCACGCGGCCCCCCTGTGGAGGACAGCCGCTCAGGCCCCGGTGGGTCCACCACCTGCATGCCCGTCCGCCCTCACGGCCCGCTGGGCTGGCGAGCGATTCCCAAGTGTGACGCTCCCATGCCAAGACGTGTGGATTTGGGGGAAACACGTAGATGCTTGGGACTGGGGAGAGGGCGCTGGGGCCGTTTTGCCTTCAGCTGGGTGTCGGGGCTCCGAGTGAGGAACTGGGAAGCCGTGTGTGCCGCGGCAGCCGCCAGGTAGGTGTTTTCAGACGTTTGCATGTTCTGCTACGATAAGCACCAGTGTGGAGGTTTTTTTTTTTTTGAGACAGAGTCTCACTTTGTTGCCCAGGCTAGAGTGAGTGGTGTGGCGTCAGCCTAGCTCACAGCAACCTCAGACTCCTGGGCTCAAGCGATCCTCCTGCCTCAGCCTCCTGAGTAGCTGGGACTACAGGCATGCGCCACCATGCCCGGATAATTTTTTCTATATATATTATTTGGCCAATTAATTTCTTCCTATTTATAGTAGAGATGGGGTCTCGCTCTTGCTCAGGCTGGTTTTGAACTCCTGACCTCGAGCAATCTTCCCACCTCGGCCTCCCAGAGTGCTAGGATTACAGACGTGAGCCACCACGCCCGGCCAGTGTGGAGGTTTTTTTGATTAATTTTCTGGACCACGATTTCAAAACTCCCATCCTTCTTGAAGCAAGGTCAGCTCTGCGCTTACTCTGGGCAGAGGAGCCCCCTGCAGTGGGCTCACCTGGGTTCCCACCGCCCTCGTTAGCGCTGGGCTGGGGTCGTGCCTGCCCAGGGCAGCACAGGCTCCCTCCCACTCCCACCTTGTCCCTTCCTGTGTTATAGTGGCAGCCGTCCCTTTCCTCCGGCTGGTCTTGCTCTGGGGCCTGGCTAGACCCTGTGGGGACCAAGGGCGGTTGGTGCACTGAGAGGCCGCACGGCACAGTGGCCGCCAGGGCGGCTTCCGGAGCCAGCATGCCTGGCCTGGGCCTCACCGGCTTCGTGCTCTTGGGTGCTGTGGGCTCTCTGGGCCTCAGGGTGGCACCTGCCCCCCGGCAGTGAGGACGCAACCTGCTGGGGGTGGAGCCAGTGCTGCAGCCCACGGGACCCTGTGGCTTCCTTGCAGGTGACCGGCACCTTCCGCGTGTTCCTGCTCTTTTCGGTGTCGCTGTGTGTCGTGCTGCCCCTCAGCCTGCAGAGGAACATGATGGCCTCCATCCAGTCCTTCAGCGCCATGGCCCTCCTCTTCTACACCGTGTTCATGTTCGTGGTGAGTCTGGCGCCTGTGGGGTCTGTGCCCTGTGTGCGGGGGGCTGGTCCTCCGGGTCCCGTGTAGCTATCCCGGGGCATGCCGGGAAAGTGGCCCAAGCCTGGGGACGTGTTAGGGTTATGAGAGTGTGCTGGGAGGCACCACTCGGCTCCTGGGCCTGGTGCCGTCGGGCGGCAGGAGCGGCCGAGGGTGCGGGGCAGGAGGTGGCTCTGGGAGGTAGCAGCGTGGAGTGTCCCTGTTTAACACAGAGATATTTTGCATGGGATTGTGACCGAGAGCCACGATGCCGGTGTCTGTCACACGGTGGCAAGCTGTTGTTTTTCCAAATGGGCGCTTACAGCAGGACAGACTAGGGGTGACCTGTGTCATCGACACGCAGACTTGGCGGCCTCCCAGAGTGAGCTTTGGGGCTCTCCACCAGGGGAGCCCTCTGGTACCTGAGCCCCAGGGCCTGTCCATTCCCTGGTGGCGTCAGAAGTGACCTTCCCGAGGGAGTGGCACCTGTGTGTGGAGCAGGTGGGGCTGCCGATTACAGCCTCTGTTATCTGGTGCTCCTTAGCTCTTGGCGAGGACCAGTCCAGAGCCAATTACCTCCTTACTGTCCGGACAGCTGAGTCCTCAGTGGGTCGGCCGTTTTCTTTTTTGGGGGGGGGGTCTCACCCTTGCTACCCTGGCTGTTGTGGCACGATTACAGCTCACTGCAGCCTTAAATTCTGGACTCAAGGGAGCCTCTTGCCTCAGCCTCCCCAAATGCTGGGACTACTGGTGTGATCCACTGTGCCCAGCCTGGCTGGTGTTGTGAACGGCGTCCACGTCTGGCATAGTACAGGACGGCAGAGGGACCTGCCTGTACTGGGGAACTGTCCTCTGTAACTTGATGGAAACTGGGCCCGGCACAGTGCGCTGGTCTCGCTTGTGTCTGTGCCGAGCAGTCCCTGCCCAGGTCCCGCTCTGACGTGCACGGGAAGTCCTCTGCAGCCAGGTGCCCCTCCAGCTGTGCCCCACCAGCCCAGGCAGGAACGGGGGTGGGGGGCTTCGAGGCAGGCGGCAGGGACCCGGGAAGGTGCAGGGTCTCCATCCCCTGCAGCCGGCAGCACCAGGCTGCCCTCACGGGGGGAACAGGGCAGTGGTGTGGGGTGGGAGGAGCTGCACCCCTCCTTGCACCCCCTGTCCCGCCCGCGTGACCTGCGCGCTCTTCTCTTCCTGACGCAGATCCTGCTGTCCTCTCTCAAGCACGGCCTCTTCAGTGGGCAGTGGCTGCGGCGCGTCAGCTACGTGCGCTGGGAGGGCGTCTTCCGCTGCATCCCCATCTTCGGCATGTCCTTCGCCTGCCAGTCGTAAGTGCTCTGGCCACAGGCTACGGGTGTTGGCGGGGGCAGGTGCCCCCGTGTCTCTGGTTTCTCCAGCGCCTGTTCTGGGTGCCGAAGCATGGTGTCTTGTCCAACTGTGACCTTTCCCCCGAGCCGAGAGAGAGAGGGTTGCGTTTCAGTCGGGAGATAGACCGACGTCATTCCTGGGATGCGTGGCTGGGACTAGCTGGTGCGAGTCCCGGGTTTGCCAAGTTCCCGTGAGCGGAGCGTTGGCTGTGGGGTGCGGCAGCAGCCCGGGCCATCTGACTGCGCAGAGTCCCGAGCGTGTTGCCAGGATTTGGCTGTTCTCCTGAGAACATTTCAGAGGAAATTGCACAAACATTGACTCCGAGCTGCTGCTGGGATGCGCCGGGAGGCCTGTGCGCGTGCAGGAGCGAGCCGCCTCCTCTCTGGCGTGGGGAGCCCTGCAAATGCAGATCAGCCTGCACCACGGTTCCAGCAGCGTCACTTCCCCACCAAAATGACAAGAGCCAGCGATTCACGCCCGGTCGGAAGACGGTAACCGGCTGAAAAGAGAGGCGTAAATCCGGCGCGGACGGGGAAAGACCATCACTCGTGCAGGGGGGAGGGGGGCGGCTGGCAGAGCAGCCCCCCCCCCCGCGGTGTCAGTGGGCACATACCGAGCCAATCGCAAGCTAATGTGACAGATAAAATTTGTTCCCACTGCTGTGTTTACACCCACATGCGAGATCCAACCGCCGTTTCCCACTTGGCGTCTCTCTTGGCAGCTCGGTTCCCGCAGAACTGCTCCAGGCTTGCTGGTTAATGTCCCCGTTATAATCGGTGACAAGTGACATTCTTCCACTGCGCACCTAGTTACCGACTGTCCTTTTTGTCTCCGTGTTTGGTTTCTCCAAACGTAAAGCCACGGTTGGGCTCTTGTGGTGGCCACATAGCCTCCGGGCACACCTGTCGTTTTGGCTCTCAGGTCAGATCGTAGGTTGTGGGAGGTGGGAGCGCATGGCCGCCGCGTCGGCCCGTCCTGCCTCTCCCCAGGTGTCCACGCTCCCCGGCTGGCCAGCGTGCCAACCTCCCACCCCGTGAGCGTCTGCCCAGCGCAGAGACCGCTCTTCCCTCTTCCCTCCCACGGCGGCACTGTGCCAGAGCGCCTGGCCTTGCCGGGTGACCCACCAGGGTCTAGTTGCCGTGGACACGGGCCTGGCCTCCCTGTGCCTTTGCTGTCCGGCCCTCTGGCCTGACTTACGGTAAATGAGCTCTGGGTTACGCAGAACTGGCGTCCTGGCCTGGAGGAGCGGCCATGCCGTGCTGAGCTCAGGAGGTGTGGGAGGGGCGGGTCCCCTGGAGTTGGGCCCCCGTCTGCATGGGGGCACATCCCACTGCTGCGTGTAGAAAGCGCCATCAGACCCCAGCAGAGTCTGAGTTGTGGCGGCTGCCTTGTGAGGCGGCTCTGGGGACACCCTGTGGGTGCTGAGGGCTCCTGTGTAGGGGCTGGGGGCATGTGGCTCCCACCTTGCTTCTCTCTAGAGGGTCACCCCAGGGTCCCTGGGGATGGAGGGGAGGGCTGGGGAGGAGCCCGTGGCCCAGCCTTCGTACCCTGGTCCACCCCCAATTCTGGGACCAGCCCCGCCCACAGCGACCACAGCTTCCTTGGCAGCGACCCTCATGGTGTGTGTTGGGCGTGGGGAGAGGTCAGCCGTGCTGTGGGCTCCTGGGTGTGGACTTGGCTCTGGGCAGAGGCCTGGTCAGCACCGAGAAGTTCATGTGACAAGTCCTTCTCCAACAGTGACAGGCCAGAGGCGCACGGAGGCGACTTAGGGTGTCTCCTCCTGGCTCCCTGCTGGGTCCCCAGGGCCATTCCCATCAGGCAAGAGGAGGGCACCTGTCCTGCAGGGTCCCCCGACCCCTGCGGGCGCCCCTGTGCTGAGGTTGGCCTGCTGGGCAGGGTGCCACGAGCCCAGGGAAAACAGGGACACCCGCGCCCACTGGCCAGGTCTTCCCGCCTGTCCTTATCTGTTTGCCTGTTAATCTGGTTGGGGCATCTCATGTTTCTTTCACGTCTTTAAGAGCAGTTTTGGGATTTGGCTGCACTGATTTTGTGTGCCCTAATGCCCCTAACCCCACCAGCCCAGCTCCCTTTGTGCCTCCCCCTCCCCTCCCCCCCGAACGGCCACCGCTGTCCGGGACACCAGGGTGGCCCTCGTCCAGCCTGTGGCAGAGGGCGTTCACCCTGTCCTGGCTCGAACTGCCCAGCTCCCTCCTCCCACGTCCCCCAGCCCCTCTCTCTCCTGGCCTGGCCCACCCGTCCGCCCAGGTGCCCTGGCCCCAGCCTGCCACCCTGTGTCCTCAGGAAAGCCTGTGTGGGGCTGTCACATCCCTGCCTGGCCAGAGATCGGGCCCCTCCCACCCCAGCAGCACCACACTCCTGGCACCGGGCCGTGGGACAGACGCCAGCTCTCATCACGCGGGCGAGAGGCCGCGCGTTGGGAAGCGTGCCCCGGGCGTCTCCTGTCTGTGCCCTGCGCTGATCGCGCCTGTGCCGAGGCGCTGAGATGGGCCGGCCGCCCTGCCAGGGTGTTTGTTTAACTTTCCCGTCTTTTGACATCAGTGTTCTGAACGGCTTCCTGCTTCCCGTGTAAACACGGCTGCTTTCATTCTCTGCGCCACGCTCCAGAGCGCGGGCTCCTGCTTCACAGGGCAGACGGGCTCTTGCCCTGCAGGCCCGCGCGGTGTTCGCGTGGAGCACGTCCTAGGGATGTTCCGAGCGGGCACTGCCGCAATGCTGCCGTCCCTAGTCTCACGAGATCCTGGCCTCGAGCCGTGACTTACAGCGCGTGGGGGACGTCGCGTGAAGGGAAGCGCCGAGACTCCTCGGCTGGGCTGTAGAAGAGGAGGGGGAACTGGCACGGCCGGGGCATCATGCCTGTCTGGAACCTGCTTCGTGACATTGCTTGTTTTGTGTGTGTGTCTTGTATTTGTTGTTTTAGAGTCAGGGTCTCTCTCTCTCTCACCCAGGCTGGAGCACAGTGGCGTCACTGTAGCTCACTGCAGCCTCCAACTGCTGGGCTCAAGCGATCCTCCTGCCTCAGCCTCCCGAGTAGCTAGGATTACAGGCATGCGCCACCATGCCTGGCTAAGGTTTCTTAGTTTTGTAGAGTCAGGGTCTTGCTATATTGCCTAGGCTGGTCTCGGACTCCTGGGCTTCAGCGACCCTCCTGGCTCAGCCTCGGTGAAGTTGCTTGTTTTTATACAGCCAGGTCCTGCCTACCTACGACAGCCTGGATGAGCCGTCAGTGAAAACCATGAGCTCCATATTCGCCTCCTCCCTCAACGTGGTCACCACCTTCTACGTCATGGTAGGAGCCCTTCACACCTGAGCTCCAGGTGCTGGGGCGCTGCTTCCCCCCAGCTTCCCACAGCCCCAGGGAGCTGCTGGTGCTCAGACCCCCAGGCATGGATGTGCAGTCGCAGGCACGCTCTTCGGGCTCCGTGCCTGTCGGTCCTTCTCTCGTTTCCCGCTGCGGTGTTGGAGGCGCACGGCGCAGTGACCTGGGCAGCCCTGCTCCTCAGCTCCAGTTGTCCCCAGGCCCGGCCCATGAGCGCACTGCCCCTGCCGTGTGACATCTCCAGGGCCGGAGGGCCCAGGCCCCTCAGCAGCATGGCCTCGCCCAGCTTGCTTTAACTGCACAGCCCTCGGGGCCACCTGTCTGAGACAGTTGTTAATTCCCTGCAAACATGGGCGTGTAGGTTAGAGGGACACTCGGAGGTGCAGGATGGTGGCAGGAGAGAAAACCTCCAATTCCAACCCACAGACGCGGTCACCGTCAGCACTTTGGAAGATATTCTCCCAGTCTTCTTGATGTTCCTGCTTGTTGCCCTTGAATAAAATTTTTAATCTAAATGATCCTAAATTTTTAACCTTGGATCGTGGCCTGTCCCGACACCTGTATCTTATTCTGCAGAGGACAATGGTCCACCTCTTATCCCCGGTTGGTTGTTTTTTTTGAGATAGGATCGCGCTCCATGGGCCCAGCTGGAGTGCAGTGGCATCATCACAGCTTACTGACGTGACACAGCTGCCTCCAAGTCCTGGGCCGAGTGATCCTCCTGTCTCAGCCTCTGGAATAGCTGGGACTATAGGCACGCACCACCACGCCTGGCTGATTTTTAAAAAAAAATTTTTTGTACAGACAAGCTCTTGCTCAGGCTGATCTCCATCCATCTCTTGACTTCGAGCCATCCTCCTGTCTCGGCCTCCCCAGAGCACTGGGATTATAGGCCTGAGCCACCACACCCAGCCTGCAGTTGGGTTTTGACATCAGAGGAGCTGGTGGAACATTCTGGTGCCCTCCCTTCCACTCGGCAACTCTGCTGTCCTCATGTCAAACCACCCGTCTCTCATCGAGCTCTCTGGTCACCAGAGTCTCTGGTCTCTGGCAGAGGCTTCCTTGTGAAGTGGCTTGAAGGCCATTCGTGGGGGGCAGGTGTGAGGGGGTGGCTGCCCTGCCCTGTCTGCTGTGACCGGTGCCACCTAGATCGGAACCTCAGTCTTCCACGTTGCCATCTCTGATCCTCCAACAGGTGGGGTTTTTCGGCTACGTCAGCTTCATGGACGCCACTGCGGGCAACGTGCTGATGCACTTCCCCTCCAACGTGGTGACAGAGATGATCCGCGTGGGCTTCACGATGTCGGTGGCTGTGGGCTTCCCCATGATGATCCTGCCCTGCAGACAGGCCCTGAACACGCTGCTTTTCGAGCAGCAGGTGAGATACTCCCGGCCGTTTCCTGCTGTTAATAGAATTGTCTTCCATGGGCTTTTGTTCGTTCTGCATTTTCCTGGGTGGCGGTGGGTGGAGCTTTTCCCAGTTAAAAGCAGAAAAGGCTTTGATTAAAATGAAATCTTAACAAGGAGTTTTATAAACAACTTTGGAAAAAGCACCAGAGGGCACGGGGCACACGGGCCACTTGGGGCCAGGCCTGGCGTCCACGCCGGTCAGGATGGTCTCCTGGGCAGTCCTAGCTGCACCGCGGCCCTGGAGGCTCAGAGAGAGCGAAGGAGGTGGGGGGTCTGCCCCAGAGCGGTCCTGAGAGGGTGGGCGTGCGGGGACGCGGAGCAGCCGGAGTGGTGGCTGGAGGAGAGGCACGTGGGGCGCGCTGTGTCACTGGAGGTTTTAACAGTATGACAGAAGATTTTGAACACAGAGCAGCCGTGTTACGCTAGGCACGGTGGTGGGTGCCTGTGGTCCCATCTGCTTGATCCCTTGATCCAGGGTTCGAGGCCAACCTGGGCAACATAGTGAGAACCCCCCATCTTAAAAATAATAAAAATAAAAAGAGAGGCTGGGTTTCATTCACTGCAGTGTAGGTTTCATTCACTGCAAGGCAGCTGCTTAGTAGTTTATAACAATTTTTCAAATACAGGGGTTGAAACCAAAAGGCCCACCTGGTTCTCTCCCTGTTGCTAAGTTGACAAGCAAAGGTGCTCTGTCCCATGCCCAGGGCAGACGAAGCCCCGCCCTGGAGCGTCGGGGGGCTCTGCCCAGTCCAGGCTTCCCCCTGCCTGTTCAGGGGGTACCTTCGCTGCCCATAGGGGCCTCAGCAGATGGCCGTCTCCTGTCCCACAGCCTGAGAACCGCGAGCCTGGTGGCCAGGAACACGAGTTCCGCCGGAGCTGTGTAGGCCAAGGGGGGTTGGTGGTCCCAGAGTCAGGAGCGAGTCAGCAGCCAGACTAGGGAGGGTGGGCCGCCCTGGGCCTGGAGAGCAGCTGGCCGGGGGCTCACTGTCCACGTGTCTCCACACCACGGCAGCTCGTGTCTGCCCCCTGTGGCCGTCCCTGGCGTGGCACCTCCAGCTTCGAGGCAGAGGCCAACCCGAGGCCTGGGTGCCTTCTCTCCCAGTGGCGTTCAGGCAGCTGGGTGCTAAGCGAGGCAGGATTTAGCCCTCTGTCCCTGGGGGCCAAGCCGTGGGGTCCTCCCAAGGCTCCCCTGGCCCAGCCTCTGCCCCGGGGGCTGTGGGGTCCCCGCTCACTGTGCGAGCAAACACGCACTTTGTATCCGAACCACCTTTGTGTTTCTGCACATGACACATTTTTGTCTTTTCTTAAAATGGAAAACTCAGTAGTGGTATTGAAGGAAATGTTCAACCAAGTGAGAAAGTTCAGCCCCATCCCTTGGTCCTGACGCGGGCGGCTGTGTCCTCCCTCTGTGCTCGCTCCTGCCTCACCAGGTGTAGCCGGGCGTGTGTCGCTCCACTCCTCTTGCCTCTGTTGGCGCGTGCGCGCTTCTCCACGGCCCTGCGGGAAGCTGCGGCCCCCATACCCTCGCCCGGTCCCCCGTCGGGGTCTGGCTGTTTCTGGTCCTTTGGGGTTGACGCTCTCCTGACGGTCTTCATGCATGAGGTTCTGCTTCCTCCTGTGGGGCGTGCTTCTTAGGCAAACGTCCGCGGGGACTCGCGGGTTGGACCCCACGCCATCCGCACTGGCATGTGTCCCCATTACCACCCCAGGCCCTTCGGGGTGAAAGTCTATTTTGAGCACTGGATACTTCGAGAGTCTAGTTCTGGAAGGTTCTGCCATTGTTTTCCTATCTCAGGGATAGCGTCGCAGTCAGTCTTTTCCTGTGTTAACTCACTTGGTCCTCACCACGGCTTGAGGAGGAGGTGCTACTGTCCACAGGGGAGGAAACTGAGGCACACGGACTCAGCGACCTGCCCAGGACACAGCTGGGCCTGCAGGGACAGGATTGGGGTGAGCCGGACAGTCTGGCTGTGGCGCCGGTGTGCTGGGCCACGCCAGGGCCCCAGACCACGTGCCCTTCCGTCTGCGTGTCACCTGGAACGGGCGTTCCCGCGTCCTACCCAGTCGTGAGCGGGGTCTGGAAGCCTCCTGAGGCCAAGATGGCATGTTTGGTTTGCGTTGGTTAGACCCCAGCGTGTCTTCCTCCCCTTTTCTTCCTGGACTTGGAAATTGTCAGTTGCCCGTAACACATCTGTGGGGATGACGATAACACACAGCATGTGAGTGTGGTGTCTACCGCGCTCTGAAGCCCGCAGGCCAGGAGACGCCTGTGGTCATTCGGCAGGGGTGTCACTGTGGAGACTGTTTTCTCTTCTCCATACTCCCATGCACGCTTTAAAGTCTGTCTGTGGCATTGCTCTAAAAGGAAAATGGAAGGACTTAGTGCTAACATTTCAAAACCAGGTTATAAAATTTACAGCCTGTACCTAAGGTGAACAGCACTTGTGCCTCCCTGGCACTTGCAGGTTGGGTGAAGGTCCCTGCGAAAGTTGCCCAGGCAGGTCTGAGTGTGCCGATGAGCTCACCTGGCAGGTGGGCCTGTCCCAGCCGCTCGTGGAGACTCGGCTGGTGCGCCCGGCAGAGCCCCGTAAGGTGTTGCTCTGCAAGAGAGTGGTAGAGGAAGCTGATCATTTCAAAAACGTTTTTATTTGTATTTCCTTTCATGTAGCAAAAAGATGGCACCTTTGCGGCCGGAGGCTACATGCCGCCTCTGCGGTTCAAAGCGCTCACCCTCGCGGTCGTGTTCGGAACCATGGTCGGCGGCATCCTGATCCCCAATGGTAAGGCGAGAGGGCTGCTCCCCGCTGGTCCCTGGTCTCTGCACCCCTTTCCTCTGTCCTTTTGCTTCTGTTCTTGCTAACACTCGGGTTGTCCTTCCTCTCTGGCCTCCTAAAACAGTCTAAAGACTCCTGGGTCATTTTTTCTTTGGCCTGAAGAGGAAGGCAGGGGATAAATTTGGCAGCCTGATGGCACAGCAGACACGTGCTGACACCTGGGGAGAGGGAGGCTGCAGCTCGAGACACAGGCCAGATCGGCGACACGAGTGACAGGCCTCCCTGCTGATGGTCGGTCGGCCTCCGACTTTGTTGCTGCATTACCTGGGGAAGGGTGCAGGGCGCTGAGGTAGGCTTAAGTCACCCAGACACACCCTCCCAGCGGACCAGACAGGCTTACTGTCATCACACAGAGGGGAGCTGCACGCACCTCCCAGGTGACAGCCCCCGGGGCCACCTGTCCAGGCTCCCGGCAGCAGGCTGCTCTGCCAGCACGCCCGGGCCTAGCTTTCACACGTGTCCCGGCATGGCCAGTCAGTCACCTGGTCAGTCACCAGGCCGCAGGCAGGAAAGGCGGCATGTGAGCCTGCAGCGCGGCTCTTTGAAAGTGAACAACCGGAGAAGCCCCCACTGGCTGCCCCGGTCCACTGTGTGAGGAATCAGCTCGGCCACTCCAGCCCCTGCTCTGAGCCCACGTGTCGTGGCCTGTGCTGCCCGCTCACCCCTTCCTGTCCCCGCTTGCTCCTAGTGGAGACCGTCCTGGGCCTCACGGGCGCGACGATGGGAAGCCTCATCTGCTTCGTCTGCCCGGCTCTGATCCACAGGAAGACCCACAAGAGCGCCCTCTCCCCGCAGGTGCGTGCTGCCGTGCCGGGCAGGGCTGGGCGGCTTGGGGCGCACAGAACGGAGGCCCCCGTTCCGTGTGTTCAGACGGGTTCTGCCAGCTGGTGTTCAGTTCCGTAAACGAGAAGCCCACAAAGGGTCCTCGGTCAGGCAGGCCTGGGAAACCCCGGGCTGGACCAGGCCGTGCAGGCTCTGCCCATCATGCACTTTGGGTTGTCCCAGACCTGAGCTTCCTGCAGTGCTTCTGTGCTGTGACTAGGTTGTCTGTGTCCCTGCCACCAACTCGAAGTCCCCTGCCCCAGTTCCCCGGTCACCCGCCACTTGGTTCAGGCGTGTCCCCGGAGAGGAGGTTACATGTGTGCACTCGTGTTTTCTCCTTTAGTGGTAACACAGCGTCCTGCTGCTTTCGCTTAAAATCCCTCACAGGTCGCTCGCCAGCCGTCCGTGCAGAGCCTGCCTGGTTGTTCTTAGCTGCTTTGTAGCATTTCATTGTAGGAAAATTCGTAATCCCATCTCCGAGGGAGTCCTGTCTCCAGTCCTTTGCTGTCCCAGGCAGAACCACGATGGGTTTCTGTGTGTGTGAGTGCTGCGATCCGCCTTCTAGCTGTGGCGTACCCAGGAGTGTGAGCGCTGGTAGCATGTGGCTTCTGCCCAGGTGCCTTGGGTGTCACGTCCCGGCCCCAGGGGCCGCCGTCCCCACACCTGGGACCTTCCAGTCTTCCTCACTCTCGGCTTCCTTGAAGAGAACGCAAGTGTCTTTTCATAGGTTTAGAAATCACTTGTGTTTCTTTTTCTGTGAATTGCCTGTGTTTTTTGCTCACCTTTATGGCATTGCTTAGCTTTTTCTTATGGAAGTATGTTGGTAAATCTTTAAAGGTACGATGTAGATACGGGTACAGTGAAGAATGTGGTTTTTGCGCACAGCCTGACAAAATTGTGCAAGGTGAACCAGCCACAGAAACACCACCCAGGGCAGACAGAACGTTCCAGCACCCAAAGCTTCCCACAGGCGCCTGTGGTCACCCACCCCGGCCCCGTAAGTCGCCTTATCTGTCGTCCCACGTGTCGGGGATGATTCTGCCTGTCTTGGAGCTGTCACGGGCAGAGTCTTGAGTGCGTGTGGCATGAGGGGGCCTCTCGGCATCGTCTGCGCTGACCATGCCCCCAGGTCCCCACTGCGTCTACCGCGTGTGTCCGCCCTGCTGTGGTGGAACAGGCCGTCTCCTACTTGGGGCTGCCGTGGACGCTGTCACTCTGAACGTTTCTGTTGGCGCCTGCGTGTGTGCAGTTCTGTCGGTTACACGCGTGTGGGAAGAACTGTTGGGACCCAGGGCCGTGGGGGGTTCTGCCAGACCCAGTTTCCCAGCGCACGTGAGGGTTCACTCGGGTTCACGTCTGCCGTCCCCTTGTCAGGTTCCAGCCCTTCCAGGGGGCGTGGGCGTGGGGCGGTAGCTCGTTCCGTGGCCTGTCGTGTGCTCGTCGCCGAGCAGCTGTCTTCCCTGTGGATGCCTTTCTGGTCTGGCCCAGCTTTTGTCTGTCTGCGGGATTGCCCCTCTCGTTGATTGTGGGAGTTTTTAGTAAGAGTCTGGACAGAAGTCCTTTTACAGAAATATAGTTTGCAAGTGTTTTCTCTTGCTCTTGGTTGCCTTTTCACGTCCTTAAGGACATCTTTTGACAAATATTATAGAAATTCTCCACATCATTAACAGTCTGGTCTAGTTTACCGGTCTCTTTCTTCTCCTCAGTGCTTTGTATGTCCTATTCAAGAAACTTTTGCCGATCTCAAGGTCCTGAAGATAGTTTCCTGTTATATTCCAGGAACTTTTCATTTTACCCTCTGCGTTTAGATCTGCCTCTCGTCTGGAGTGGGTTGGCATGAGGTGGGGCGAAGGTGCATCTTCTCCGTCCGGCGCTCTGGTCGGTCCAGCGCTGTCCTCCTCACAGTGCCATTGTCCTTTGTTGTCCTGCGTGTGGGCGTCCCCTGGCCTGCCGGTCCCGCCTCGTCCCAGCTCGCCCGCCTCTGTTGCTGTGGTTTATCACAGGTCTCCGAGGCCGGGAGTGGAAGTTCTTCAACTGTGCCCTTATTCAAGACGTTCCTTCCTCTTTGTGGCTCTTGGCTCCCAGCGGAACTTTAGAACAGGCTGGTCCCTGCCCCCAGAATGCACTGTTGAAATTTTCGTTGGGGTTGCTTCAATAAATAGACTGAAAAATTGACGTTATCATTCAAGTCATGATATTTTCTAATTTCCATTGTGATTTATAATTTAACCTGTGGCTTTTTTAGATTTCCAGACATTTGAGAATTTCTTACTGATCTCTTCTGTTTTTGTTTTTTTTTTTTTTTTTGAGACAGAGTCTCACTCTGTTGCCTGGACTAGAGTGCTGTGGCATCAGCCTAGCTCCCAGCAACCTCAAACTCCTGGGCTCAAGTGATCCTTCTGCCTCAGCCTCCCAAGTAGCTGGGACTACAGACATGCGCCACCATGCCCAGCTAATTTTTTCTATATATTTTTAGCTGTCCAATTAATTTCTTTCTATTTTTAGTATAGACGGGTTCTCGCTCTTGCTCAGGCTGGTTTCGAACTCCTGCCCTTGAGCGATCTACCCACCTCGGCCTCATGGAGTGCTAGGATTATAGGCGTGAGCCACTGCACCCAGCCTTGACCTCTTCTGTTGATGTCAGCCTTAGTCCCAGTGTGGTTAGAACACCCTGAAGTCTAGTCCTTTGACGTGTGTTGAGACCTGCCTTACGGCCCAGCACACGGTCCATCCCGGCGACGTTCGATGCTCTGCGCATTCTGCGGTTGCTGGGCACAGTGTCCTGTATACTTGGCTTAGGTCAAGGTGACTCACTGCTATTTCTAGATTTTTACAAAATTTTACTGATTTTCTGAATCTTGCTTATCAGGTGTGAGAAAGGTGTGATGACTCCTACTGTAATTGCAGGTTTGTTCATTTCTCCTTTCAGTTCTGTCGATCTTTGCTTTTTATTTTAAAGCTATGTTATTAGGAACACACAGATTTAAGTTGGCTATATCTCCTTGTTGAATTGACTTTTGAACTGTGAAATGTCCCTTTTCGTTTCTGGAAACACTTTTCTCCTTAAAGTCAGCCTTGTAGCTAACTCAGGTCTCTGCTTTGAGTTTGTATTTGAACAGTGTAGCTTTTTTCCCTTTTTCTTTTGATCTGTCTCTGCCCTTATATTTAAGGAATGTCTCTAGCATATAGTTGGCTTTTGTTTTGTTATTATCTGGTCTGTTAATAGGAGTATTTAAGACTATTTACAGTTAATATAATTACTGATTTTGGGGGGAAACTTCCATCTTACTCCTTATTTTTTGTACATCTCATCTGTTATTTTTCTGTTTCTTTTTTTCTTTTGGATCAATCATTTTAAATATTTATATTTTTTCCTCTCTTAGCTGCTTGTTAGATTTCTAGTCTTCTAACGTTATGGTATATGTAACATAATATGCATAGCATTATATAGTGTGTATATGTAGTATATAGTATGTAATGTGACATAGTATTCTTAAAGTAAGCAGTTGATATGAATCCTTGATGTATTGGAATTAACTGTAAATTAAGATTTTTTACCATTTCCCAGACAAAGCAGATCTTCCACAACATGTTAACTCCATTTCCCCTCCTCTTGCCTTTGGTGCTGTTGTTCTTGTGTATTTTAATTTTACATGTAGTTATTGTTTCAGATAGTCACACGATGCTCTGTGGCTTCTGTTTTCTGTCATTTGGTCCTGTCTTCTTGCCTGCCTGGTGTTTCGCTGGCCCCGTGTCTGAGGCAGTGCGGGGTCTGGCTGATGCTGTCTTGCGTCGTCAGAGGAGGGTGGGCAGAAGGCCTGTGTCCAGTTGAGGCAAATGTGCTTCCAGTGTGCCCTGCTTGGCATTCTCCCTCTTGCCAGCTGCTCTGGGCGAGGTTCTCTGAACAGCTGGCGGCTGGCACGTGCCCTGGGGAGGAGCACACAGGGCGTGGGGCAGCTGCTCTGAGCTTTCCTTTTCTCCTTCAGGCTCCAGCTGCCGTGGAGCCCTCGCTCTTGGTGCGCAGCGCCCGCACTCTGGGCTGCCACCCCCTGCTGCCCTGCTCTGCAGTTGTGATTGGAGGGGGCTCCAAGGGCACAAGGCCTCACCTCTCTGCCTGAGCGTTCTCTGGGGTCTTGGCCCCTCAAGTTTGACCTCAAAGTGTCCTCAACAGTGTCTTCAGTCAGGCGATCTTTTTTTATTTTATTGAGATAGAGTCTCGCTCTGCTACCCTGAGTAGAGTGCTGTGGTGTCAGCCTAGCTCACAGCAACCTCAAACTCCTGGGCTCAAGCGATCCTCCTGCCTCAGCCTCCTGAGTGGCTGGGACTATAGGCATGTGCCACCATGCCCACCCAGCTAATTTTTAATATTTTTAGTAGAGACGAGGTCTCACTCTTGCTCAGGCTGGTCTCAAAGTCCTTAGCTCAAGTGATCCTCCTGCCTCAGCCTCCCAGAGAGCTGGGATTACAGGTGTGAGCCACCACGCCCGGCTAGTCAGGTGATCTTAATGTTTTTATCCAGCTGTTACAATTAAATGGAACGAGGAGCTTGATGCCTGCTCTTGTGCATAGCTTGCAGCAGAAGTTTCTCGGTGAGTTTTCGGGCTCCCGCAGGCATGAGGAGCTCGGCTACTGCCATCATGTGGCAGGTTTCCCTCCGTCAGGGCCCCAGCTTGTGGCCCTGGGCTGCTTATTAGAAAAACATTGTAACCGTTGGGAAGACCTCCCATGTCAGTATTCTTTTTACAAATTCCTCTCTCGTTTTCCTAGTACTTTCATGAGTTCATTTTCTTCATTTAAATCTTTGCTCCAGTGTTTTATTTTGGGGTAAGAAACAGAGTGGATGTACTGCGTTTTTTCCAACACGGTCCCCTAGTTGTCAGACAGTCTTTACGAAATATCCGCCACTGATACGAAGTGTCGCTGCTGTCGTGTATTACGTTCTCGGGCGTGTTCGGGCCTAGCGTGGGACTTGC